ACAACCCAATTGCTGGGTTTGTCCCTATTTTACCCAGCACTAGGTTGTATTTAACCCAGCATTTTTAAGAGTGTAAAATCTGATTTTTCAAAGCTTTTAAAACAAAGATTATTAGAGTACATATGACAAGAAAACACTATTACATCCTTTCTACTTTAAAATTTCATGTTTAATTCAATGTTAATTGCTGTTTTTATTGCTTTGTATCACACTGTAAAATCTAATTAGTTGGGCTTACTTAAAAAAAGCATGCAAACCGATTTAAAATATGCAAACCGATAAGTAAAGTGAAATAGGAATATTATGTTGTACTGACAAATGCTTAGTTAGTATAGTTTACTTACACAAGAGTTATAGTAACTAAAAAAGAACTGTTGGGGGTACTTGATCCTTTCATTTAGGTTTACTCATGACTTAGTATAGCTACTCACTGACTCCCAGAGTGCATTGCGGCATGAATAAATTATGCAGTTGCTTTGTTTTACAGTTGTTATTTTTATTTGCCAATTGTATTTGCTGTCTTGTGTCAGTAGTAGCACAACAATAGGATTATATAAACTCAAATAAAAGCATCTCATGGTATTTATGAAAAAAGAAAATTGATAAAGTTCATTAATAAACACACACAATAAATGCACTAATTATTTAATTAGAAGATAGGTCACTTTCTAAAAGCAACTATTTACTACTTTTCTTCCTTTGAAATCAAATAACTCTGATTTCATAATGCATTACTGCATCAACAGGAAGATAATTATAGTAACATAAACAAAGTTCCAAGTGCCCAACCAAAGGGATTACAGTGTATTTGTGAAATTGACTCGCAATTTCTGAGTGTTTCAAGGTAAATCCTACACATCCTAATTTGTTTACCAAACTGTACATTTAATCTTAAATTTATTTGTATATTCTGAAATATCCTGTTCATATGGACAGCAGTGAAGAACCTTTCATTATGGTGTTAGTAGCACAGTCCACTACACAGCCATTCTTAATTCATGTGTTTCTGTGTTTATTTATTGAAAACAGACTACGAGGTCATGTCTGTTACAATGAACCAGTGGCAAGCATTGGCATTTTCCCCAGCTGAGCTGCCTGAGGGTTAACTGGAGCCAGATGGGTTTAGGTATCTTTGTGAGGTATTGGGGCTGTTACCTGAGCAGGTGAGAGGTACTGGAAGCTCTGGAAGGGCAGATAGGCGATCAGGTTACCAGTGTCTCTGATAAAGGATAAGCTGCCGGCTGTCATGTTAGGCAAGCTCATGGACTGACTGAACCATCGACCAAACGCTTGCTGCTGCTCCAGGGAAAGGTTTTTGATGCTGAAGTTAATGATGCTTAACCTGGAGAAAAGTAGAGGAGTGGAGATGTTTTAAACAATTTGAATTATGTGTAAAAACCTTATATGTTATTATTGTTAACTAAAAGTATTACAAATTTATTAAGTATAACAATTTTAATAATAAAGTTGAAAAAAATATATAAATATTAAATAAAAAAAACTCGCCAAATGAGAACTGTTGCCTTGGGAGCTAAATGAAATTTTAAAAAGTTGAATTTTAGATAAAAATAAATTAAAGCTAAACAGAAATATCTTTTAAAAAAAGAGGAAAAATGACTAAACTAAAAATAAAATTTAAACGAAAACTGAAAATATAAAAGTTAATTCAAAATAAAAATAAAAAAATACTATAATAGTATATAAATAGTACTATAATACTATATCATATTATATATAATAATTATAATATTATAATAATAAAGATAATAAACAAGAAGTGAATGGTGTGATTAATAGATGGCTCTTTTTAAGCTTTTTAAACAGGTATATATGTGTGTCACTCACGCATTGATATTATTTTGTAGCGGAGGCATTGACAAGATGTCTGAAGGGGTAGCTAGAGCCAACAAAAGACCCATGTCAGGAAACAGGCTAATATCCCTGGGCAAGTGAATTTGGAAGAGCACAGACACCATGGTGTGCAGGTAATCATCTGTTAGCTTCAAAAAAGAAAAGACTGTAAATTATATCTGATGATGCATTTATCTTGATTGTTTGTTCCTTCTTTTTTTAATATATAATGATGCAATGATGAGATGGTCTACCTGCAAAGTGGCATAGTTCCTGTTATAGTACAGCAGGATCTCCCTCACGATTATGCTGTCTGCTGCACTGAGCACTGATCTCAAATGAGATAGAGGAATACGGAAATACTCCTGTAAAAGCAATAATGAGAAGTGCTACTCGCACACTGATTTCAGCAAACAAAAGCAGATATTGTGTATGAATGATAATGCAGATTGACAAAGCAAAACATGAATTTGGCTCCAACACTTTTAAGTGTTATTTTTAGCAGCACAAAGCTAAAAACTGAAAACATGCAAATAAAGTTGTTAATCCAACCTTGATCAAGAAAAAGTTAGTGGGCACATCTCTTCCTGTTTGCATTAGACTGGTCAGAACTTTCTGAAATACACACATGCAAAGTTTCAACTGGAAATGCAGTATAATAACATTGTATTTATTGACATAAAATAATATTGTCCTATAACATAACAAGAAGAACAATCTCAACATTGATAGGAACAACAACAACATACATTAGGTATTTGTATCACAATACTAATGTAGAGACAAATCAAATGACTCAAGAGTTAATATTACATGCTAAGGAAGAGATTTAGATTATCCGGTGACAAGTCTAACACCTTACACCTCATGTTGATGAGCTAGATCATGGGTCAATTACAAAATAGTGGTGAACCTGGTAAGGGATATGCTTAATTAATAATCAGAAAAACTAGAAGAACTTCCAGAACTACTTCACAGTGTCATTTTTGGGAAACAGTGGTCTAATGAAAACAATGATATGCCCTGTTCTTAATATGAATTACTTCGGTTAGTAGCAATTTAATAATGATACCAACCCCAAAGCACTGCAAAAGCACACGCTTGTTGTCAAAATTGGTCTCATTGTCCATGTAGATGACAATTGAGTCAAACACACTGAGCCGAATATTCTCGGTCACCCTCAGAGAGGTCAAATGGCTTTCTTCTAAAGCCAACAGCAGGACAACCCACAGGCTGGTGGCCCGCTTGACCACCGATGTCACCCGTGTAGTCATGAGATTCTCCAAGCGAGGCTGGATGATCTTTATCCCACAGCGCAACAGCAACCGAAGACCCTGGACTTGACTGGCACCTGGTTGGCAGACAGCGCTGAAGTCTGTGCTGCATGTCCAGTTTAGCTTCTTAGCTAACTCCCTAGTTAGACATGGCTGGGAAGTTGTTTCGTTGCTCCCACCGACACTGGTGGTTTGGGGAGCTGTGTATGTAGCACAGAGAGTGCTGACCCAGAGGCTGGAGGGCTCCCGAGTGATGTGGGTGAGCATGGAAGAGTCAGCACAGATGAAGGAGATAAAGTTGGCCTGGTCATAGTCCCAGCAAAGAGCGAGGAGAGCAGCATCCGGGAGCACCAAAGCCCAACTGGAGTACTGACACTGCTCAGCCGGTCGGAAACCTATCAGGCTCCCCCCGTTCCCAGCCCCACCACCTGGGCCAGGCGCAGTCAGGTTTGAGCATTGCTCCAATAACCAGGTGTTGTCTAAATTTGCCAGCAGATTCTGGAGAACCGTAGCGTTGGCACATACATTCCGAGTGAAGTTCTCAGTGTCAAGATCTGCACAGAGAGCAAGTTCAGTCATGTCTACAATAGTAGGCTGGCTCCAATCTGAATAGACGCAAAGTTGCTCCAACACATTTGTGGTGTCATTATCAGAGCACTCTCTAATCAGCCATTGGTTGTCAACATGAAGAGACAACTTGTCATACAAGGGTATGTTGCAGCAGACGTTCTGATGGAAGCCGATCTGGTCATACTGCCAGCATAGAGCAACCACAGATGGATCCACAGACATGTTAGTCCATTTGCTATAGTTACACCAAATATCAATGCTCAGCGGCGGTGGGCTTGTAGGGGGATTCCTGATAGAATATGTGCAATATTGCTCTACCCAAGCATTTTCACTTTTCAGCAAAAGTTCAGTGACAAACGTGTGGTTAACACACACCTCGTTAATGAATCGAACCTCATCATTTTGGATACATACAGAGATCTGTTCAGGGGTGATTGCTCGTACGTTCTTCCATTCGGAGTATTTGCAAGACTCAGCCACAAGGGTGTTGATGTTGATTTGTGGAGGAGGTTGAGAGCAATTGGGCTTCAGCCAGTTGTTTTCTTCACTGGAGAACACAACCATAAAGAAGGGCATACTGTCACACAGAAAAAAATGAAATCTCTCCATGTCATTATACCAGCAGAACGTCACTATTGATGGGTCGATGGTTTCAGCAGTCCACATGTTATATGAACAATACAGGTTCACTATGTACGTGTCTGACACGTTTGCACAAAATTCCCACACCCAAGCATTACTAGGATTTCTGACCAGCACTTGCATAGCTTCAGCATTGTTACACACAGCAAGAATGAATGCCGCATGATCATTTTCACTGCACATTGTGACCAGAGCTGGGTCCACAGCGTCAGCAATAGTCCAGTTCTGATAGTCGCAGAGTAGTTCGCTGAGGCTGAGAGTGGACCGCGCAATACGACTTGATTGTGCGATGCCAGGATCACTGCAGGGCTCAATGAGAGGTAAACTGACGTTCTTGATCATGTGACACACGTTCCTCCAGACCTTTGTCACTTCAGTTTGAGAGAGTGTGCGGAGCGCTCGACACATCTGATAAAGGACATAGGATTCCTGAGATGTTGCTCCTAAAATTGCTGCACAAAGGGTTTCGTCGAGTTGGTTCAGGTTTTGCCGTTCGCAGGTGAGACTATACGTGGGAATGTTCACTGAGGTTGTGCCAGTACGACCGAACTGGATGCTGCCTGTGGCCTGGCATTCTGGACTTGGGAAACTGCAAGGAGGAGTTTCAGGGGCCAAAAACATATCCAGAAGTGACTGTCCAAAAGACCAGCTTACATTATTATTCATGCCCCTAAATACAGAAAACAAGGCATAGAATGAATTGAGTCATTTTAAAGTAAAACACAAATGGAAATGAACATTTCTATCATCAGTAAAGAGTAATAGGCTATGAATTTAGTTTACATTGCTTTTTTACTTAAAAAAAGAATGATAACAAAAAAGAGTATCATTATAATAATATAATATAATATAATATATCTCTCCAAATGTGTAACAGGAATATGGGCTTCCACTGACATACCACATGATAAGCTGTTTGAGATCACCTGTATACACAAGACAGAAGAAAACAAGAACAATCACTTACTGCACTGAAAAAGTATTCTAATACACACAAAACAAACAATACTGAAGAACTGAACTTAACCTAAAGCTATGACACACCTTGTTGACACTTCTCACTTTGGTCTAGGGTAGGGATCTTAATGCCAAACTGTAATCCCAGGTTTAGAAAATCCACTGGCGTTTGAAGAGCACTCAACATGAAATCAGACATGAATGACATCACTGGTGGAATTGCCATGTCCATAAAACTATTCCATAAGGCTAAAAAGTTGTCTGACAGCAGATAAAATGGGAGGTCTGAGGACAAAACATTCGTCAACATCTCCTGAAGAGACCTTAATTGAGCCACAGTGGAGTCTGCCATTCGCAGATTAGATGTTGTCATGCAAGCTTCAGCTTTAACAGAGGAGATCACAGAAAGTAATTGTTCATTCAATGCAGATGAAACGATACTGGTTAAATCTCCTTGCCATCCACAGTGCTGTCTGTCCACTAAAACGCAAATTAAAGTCTGAGGGAGAGTTTCAATGAAACTGTCAATCATTGCGGGCTGGTATATGGAGAATAAACTGTTGAATATTGTCAAGTAAGTATCTAGGTTAGTGCTGTCAATTGCGATTCTCTCAATGGGTGCTGACATTCTGCTCATGCTCTGATGAAGATTTGGTGAGGCCTCTTCTCCATGTTCTTCTTTTGACAAGGATCTGATGTTCTCTATCAACACTTTGATGCTCCTCTCAAATTCATCCTCACTCCTGGAGCTCTTTTCACTTGGTCTGATGATGGTCCTAGGTGATGAGGTCACCTTTATAGAGTCACCACATGCAATCCCTTTGAAGAAAAGGTAAAAAAAATGGTCTTACTGCCTTAGAGTGAATACATTTTAAATACTTGGTGATAAACGGACACCAAGGGCCCTGATGTATAAACGTTGCGTATGCACAAAATGGGCATGGAAATGTACGTACGCAATTTTCCACGCACATGTCAAGATTTATAAAAAATAAACTAGGCGTAAATATGTGCGCACCGTACGGACACTCTAGACCAGTGGTTCCCAACCCTGGTCCTGGAGGCACCCCCAGTGGATGTGCTGCTTTCGAACAATGTTCCTGTGGTAGGCTATGTGATTTAATGTTTTAATCACACCGAGGATTGCTTGGCGTATGACAATTCCGCTTTAAATTGTGTTTTAAATAGCAAAACTCATGTTCTGAGAAAATACTTTTGCACGAATAATGATCATTGATGTGAACTTGACTTCGTCTGATGGCTTTGGAACACAGATGGTAACGACAGACATAAGGATGCGCTCGTTGATCAAACAGTCCATTGGCTAGTTTGAACAGGTCCGATGACAGTAGAACCTCTGTTCACAGGTGCACAGACAGTAGCCTAATGATTTTGCCAAGTAAGACATGTTCCTTGATCAACATCTTTTAATGATCCTGGATCAACATTATTGTCCAAAAATATAGACTTAAACCAATCCTTACCCCTAAACCTAACCTTAACCATAATTTATTCCTAAAATCATAGGGAAGTGATAGCTGATTAACAAGGGTGTAGAAGCACCTAATCCTGATTTTACGCCTAAAACAGATATTTCCTGAAAAGATATCTCAATTCTGATTGGTTGATTGGAATGTTGTTCCAGGATCAACAAGGATGTTGATCCAGGAACATGTTGTACTTGGTGAAATCACGCTCACCATAAGATATGCGCGTTTTATTTTCAAAATGTTTTGTTATTGACGCAGTGAGTCAGCTATTTACACTGCAAAAAGATTAGGCCTATCTCTTTCCATACAAATATAGGCTATAAACATTCTAAAATATATGTTTACCTTTTAGGCAAAATTGCATAAATTAGAATAGTGATGTCTCAAAACGCATTTATAGTCCGTATCTCATATTTTCCTAACGTATTGTACCCTTAACTCAGTGTTCGAATTGTGTCAAAGCTCTTGGGGGGTCCCCCTAACCAGCCCCCACCCCCACCACAAATTTGTACCAAACAATCACTAAGCAAAGAAGAATTAAATATCTAGCCTAGGGGTGTGCGATGTTGACAAAAAGTGTTATCTCTATATTTTCTGGGATTTTATCGATAATGATTGATAATCAGATGATATTTTGCTGAGTGTGTTGCACTTTAGGACTGTCATGGACAGCTGACTCTGTGTGGTGGTCAGTTCACAGCAGTGACAGAAATTAATCTTTTCCAGCGAGTTTTAAATTATTTTTACCCTTTATGGGCATTTTTACCTTTGTGAAGCCATTTTTTTCTAGAAGTGTGTCTTATATTTAATCAATAAAGTCAATTATAATAATAAGACATTTGGGGCAGTTACCAAACAAATAAAATCAACAAAATTCATGCAATGCAAAGGGAACACAGAAGCTGCATCTGAAGTGGCATTAGATGCCGCGGGAACGTATTTTGAGCTGGGGGGGCTGAGAAATAATATTTAATATTATAATAATAATATTATATATAGTGTTAAACGTGAGTAAAGCATATTTATTTTGTTAATAAAAGCTCAAAGTTTAATGGGGTTTTTTTGTTGATGTTTGTTTCGATTAATAATAATGAGCCATAAGCATGCATTTAAAGTAAGGTTCATTCATTATTTGAAGCACGCAAGCCACCCAATAATCGCAGATTTGCGCTTTGTTACTACAAAGTCTCAGCCTTCTGTCAATTTTATGATAAAATACAAACAACAAACGTCTTTTTACGCTCTTTAAAAATCAGAACAACTTCATACAAACGAATGTCTCATGAATCGATCAATCAGAGTTTTTAAAAAAGTCAAAAGAATGACGGATGCCACAGAGTAGGCCTATGGGTGGAATTTTCACATTATATAATTTATATTTTTATTTTAGATAATAAAATTATATTTTATTATCTTAATTTTAACTTTATTCTTAAAATATTATGACATAAGTTTCCGCTGTTCTTAAAAAAATGCAAGTGATCGCGCTGGCGCCTTCATGTCCTGCTTTAGTTTCCACTCTCCACACAAACGATTGGATATGCACCTAACAGCGCTCATTTATCTAGCTTAAGAATTAATTTTGTTTCAAGAATACGAAAGACCTAACATTAAAGATCAAACTAAGCGCTACAGATGTGAGAATGCGAGTTTTGTTGCTGCTGAGGTAGACGCTCTCGCTCTTTCTCTGCTGTCTGGGGGAGACGGGGTGAAGGTTCATGTACGCAGTCTTCCGCTGACTGGGTATTACAAAGGGAATTTTGCGCAGATTCTGGTGTATAAATCTGAAAACTTTTGCATGTACGCAAAATCTAGCTTTTGTGCGTACGCACACATTTAGGATTAAATCTACGTAAAGTTGTATACATGAGGCCCCAGGTATTCATAAATTATTTCTTTTCAGGTGCATGCTGAAACAGTACATTACTTTTTTAAAAACTATATTTAATATGGGTAACGTCAAGTGTAATGTAAGAAAAACAAATGTTGGTTTTACTATTTTATCTTTACTCTGACATAAATTATAAAACAAGTTCTTCTTAAACATTCCGAGCTGGCAGGTATTTAAAATTGTACAAGTACAGACAAGAAAGAAAGAAAACAACTCTTACCTAAAACGATGCTGAGCATGAGCAACTTCAAACTACCTCCGTGGTCTGGTGTACGCATTGCTTTATAAATCTGAAAACGTTTGCATGTAAGCAAAATCTAGCTTTTGTGCGTACGCGCACATTTAGGATTAAATCTACGTAAAGTTGTATACATGAGGCCCCAGGTATTCATAAATTATTTCTTTTCAGGTGCATGCTGAAACAGTACATTACTTTTTTTTAAACTATATTTAATATGGGTAACGTCAAGTGTAATGTAAGAAAAACAAATGTTGGTTTTACTATTTTATCTTTACTCTGACATAAATTATAAAACAAGTTCTTCTTAAACATTCCGAGCTGGCAGGTATTTAAAATTGTACAAGTACAGACAAGAAAGAAAGAAAACAACTCTTACCTAAAACGATGCTGAGCATGAGCAACTTCAAACTACCTCCGTGGTGCATTTTTACCGAGAAAAATCCTGATGTCGTTGAGGCGGTTTGTTAATTTAACACAAGCATGACCACTGCCGGGAGAGACTTCATTTCTTTTTATTTCGTAATATTACTAACATAACATACTGTGCAATACTTGTCCTGTAATGTAGCCTCTCTGTGAAGTGATTCCTGGATTCCGTCTCTGTTCTATCACGGCTGCCGTATCGCTGCAACCCAATCCGACATCAGTCGCCTAATTAAACAGCAGCAGAAAATAGGTGAGAAACCGAGGCCAAGAAACACGCGGAAGGGATTTGGGAGTTGAGACACCGCCGAAAATGCTGAAATATTAACAGGTCGTGTTGACTTCAGCATCTCGATCACAGTAATGTACACCCGAGCAGTGACACAGGTAGAAACAAACGTAAGCACAGGTGGGTGGGTGTAAGATAATTGGCCCTCTGTGTCACTTCTGCACGCGGTAGAACAGCGCGAGCATAGTTGACAACACTGCTAATAACAGCGAAGATAGGTTAACTGTTCTGTGTGCATTAGCGAATACAGTGACTGAAAAATGCTGATTTTTTTTTTAGAGCAACCCTTTTTCAAAATGTTATATTAATAACAGCCGTTTCATTTTGAACCGCAAAAGTATGCTCATAACTCAAAGCAGTTCTTATAAATAAATAAAACGTATAAAGTCTAACTTTAAAACAGATCCTCACAACTGATTTAGCAGAAATGCATCATTTTTGTATCTGACTATCCAATAATTTAAAAACGCCATCTGTGGCTGATTTACATTGTAGATTTTAATTTAAAAATGAATATTAATGTTTTTAGTTAAATTTTTATATTATAATATTAATATAGAACATTAATGTTAGCCGTTATTCATGTTGATTTGATTGGTTCCTGATATTTAAAAGGCAACCCATCATAAAACTTATGTGCCTCACTTTTGCTAAAACCATTGTAATTACAATCTATGGTAAGAATTGTTACCATAATACATTTACATGTACACATTTGGCAGAGGCTTTTATCCAAAGTGACTGGCATTCAAGGTACACATTTGCATTTTATCAAATGAATCCAGGGAATTAAGCCAGTGCCATTCTCTACGGTTTACTACAGGAAAGCAAGTACTGTAATAATAAAAGATCAATTGAGCATTTTTTGTAAGTTAACATTAAGCCTTTAAACTTCAGGGTTCCCACACCTTTTGACCGTCTTGTACACACAGAAAACTTCAAGCTGATGACATACCGGAAAGCAGAATAGACTATAAAAAAAAGTCACTAAAGACATTTCCATAACTTGAAAATGTTATTCATTTCCATGACTGCTACGGGCCTGGAAATCACAATTATCTGGTTCCATGATTGTGGGAACCCTGAAACTCCTTGTATATACAAAACGTATAGGTAAAATTTGATCTTAACTCCTTTTATGTGCATTAACCTTAACTTGCTCTAACTCTAGTGACATTAAGGCTTTCAGTTCACTTTTGTGAGGTTGCATCAACAAGATGCCATTTATGCTGACAGCATCACACAAAATTGATACAAGTCATAATCATATTCATAAAATCTCCTTGATATTACACACCATTTGATGGTAAAATGAAGTAGCAGAAAAAGACATGAAATACAACCATCCATTCTTAAGTATCTAACATGTTGTTCTGACATAAGCTAACATTAAAATAAAAGAGCATGCAATTTTCCAAAGACTTAATTTCCATTATATGAACAATCTTAAATAACACGTTTCAGGTAATGACATTTAGACCTAGAATGTTTCCCCAATGCAGCTCAAGGACAATCGCAAGCCATATGGTTTTTGAAGATGGAGTATAAAAGAAAACAAACCTGAAACATTCATCTGCAAAAAAAGTGCCTTGATTAAAATCCCAACTCTCACATAACAGGCTTTTTACATGCGGAGAATGTTCAGTGATTGTGCCAACTACATACAAAATACAAAGATGAAAAGGAAAAAAAAACAAAAAACACTGATGACATGTTCTGCATTAATACATTTGAAAATGAATACATTTTAAAAAATAGATATGACATGCCTTTTGGAATACAAGTAATCAAAAATACAAAAAGATTTCCTTTAACTCTTTTTTCATGAAGCTGCATGTTTTTAGTACAATATGCTTTGTACAGAAGTAATGCACATTACAATGAACTGGTTGTACATATGAAACAAACCTCTGCATTATGTTTTACACTTAATACACTACTGCTCTTTGACAATCATACAAAATATTTTCTTTGTAAGAAAGTGCCAGGGCCTTTACCTTACTCCCAGACTTTCATTCACACTCATGTCACACAATACCTCTTGACACGGCTACACCGCCCCCCTCCCCTAAAATAAAATAAAAACCAGATCAGGGGCAGTCAGGTTTAAACCACAGCGATGAGACTGTTGTTATGCTGGTGCAATAAACAGGGCTTTACCAGGCTTCAGCCCTCCATCTTCTTATTTGCAGTTCAGTTAGAATAGATTAGCTCTGGGCAAATGCTACATTAACTCCAAAAGTTAACACAAAAATACTTCCATGTAATTAACACTAATACATAAAGGTGACATCTCTTTAAAGAACACCTGCTTAAAAAACTAAAATATAAAAAATACACAGGCTAAATATGAAGCCAAAACAGTACTTAAAATATGTAATAAAACAGTGGCTGACAAAATACCATTTTGAGATGCTACTAATTAATATGTTGTTGGCTCTTGAAAGGTGAATAAATACCTGTGGAGAGACAATAGATGGAAGTTGCAGACTTATGATTCACTGGTAGGAAACGTCTTATTTAAACAATTTAAGAATTTAGTTGCTGCAAATCTTTCTTTATAAAACAGACATCACTCTGGTTTAAACCATTCTCAATCACACCATATATATATATATATATATATATATATATAAAAAGAGTGATTCCACTGTGCTGTGAAAATCAGAACTATAATCTACCCAGAAGATGCTCTTTGCGAAACGAACACATTTTGGCAAACAAAACAAGCCAGGCGTTGAGAGAACAAGATTTGAAGTAAACACCAAGCAACGTGTACAGATGGGGAGGAATGCATACTGAAAACATTAATGAAAAATGAAACTTAGCATAGAAAAAACATTCACTCACAAGCATCTAACTTCTGTCAGACAGTACGATTTTCTTACTGGCCATTACTTATGAAATTGGTCAAAAGCCCAACAGTGTCAATCCCATTGGGAGCACCAAAAGACAACATGATCCTCTTCTCTTCTGACTGCTACACATTCACTTTGTATTGGATGAAACAACTGAAGCCACCACACAAGAAACTTCAAACCCCTCTGACTGAACAAATGGCAAAAAGTGCCGAAAAAGGAGTCATTTTTGCTTTGATGTTTTCAAAGCAATGAAAATTTGTGGGGAATAAAAAAAAAAAAGTTAATTTCAAGATTAAATGGCAATGATGTTATTATGCAAAACGTATATCTGCATTTGTTGTCTTTGTTACTGTCCTGTCCCACTCTGTGCGCTCAGTCAGGGGGAAGGAGGTCATGAAGCCGAAACCGCTCGCGAACATGTGGCCGCACATCCTCATTCTGTGGACAGACAATGGAAAAGTACAATTTGTATTTAGACTCATTCATGAATTCTTATTTTATATATACAAAAATAATACATTAAAATATAAATAAATACGTATTACACTTGTATAATGTTCACAGAGACACCTTGAAAGGAAAGTCAAGAAAACTAAGAGGTGAAGAACATGACAACATACCAATTCCACCAGTTTCTCCAAGAAAGGTACCAGCTTCAGAAGTTCGCTGTCATTCTTGTCCATAAACCAGCTTTCAATTGGGATCCCATTGGAAAGCTGTGAGTGAAACACATGGGTTGGTGATTTTAGTTACATAGATTTTCCTTCATCTCTCTAGGGTATTTCTGTATTGGGTCATCTACCCAAAGAGCCCAGTCACACACCTGAACTCTGTACTTATATATACACTTTACGCATGCACCAATGACAATACTTCATTACTTTCTAAATTACTACTCAATAATTACTAATATATTCTGGGTGGCCTGGGGGGAATGCTGCTGAATATAAAATTGAACAATAAGGGATTTAGAGCCTTACATAGTATGATGATTCACAGATATCTTCTATTAAAAGTGTGACTGATCTTGTAATTTATTACAATCTAAAAATAACAAAAAAGGTTACTTTTAAATAATCTTAAACTGTAATTATTTGGATAAAAGGCAACCGTGATCAGCTCACCTGATAAGCAAAGGCTTGTGGTGAGTTATCAATAATTATAGTCTTGGACAGATCCCGTCCAAGGATATTCAGATCCTTAATGTAGTTTCCTTGCACACATACACAGTGCTCACGAAATAATCGGTGCCTAGAACATATCGGAAACACATACAGAGAGAAGAACGAAATAAATCTCCAGGACTAGAATCAATAATGCATTCAAAGCAAAGGTTTGACACCTGAGGATGGTGTGGAGTATACATGTGCCAGAGGCCAAAGCTCCCCATCTACTCCAATCTCTCAATCCCTCATTGTAACCAAATGCTACAAAGAAACTCTGCACAGCAATGACAAAACTGAG